TTGTATCTTATATGCAAAGACTTTAGCAATACTATGACATTCAGTAATAATGATACCACAAGTAACCTTGAAGAGAATGATGAATTGCAGACGAAAGTGAGGATTATGAGCAGAATGAAAGTGGTGAAGATGAAATTGACAATAGTGTTGAGATAGAGTTAATTACTGACGACATATCACTGAGACTAGAACATTGTACAGTTCTTTGTAAAATCATGATACCTGATACTTAATTTAATAACTTAGAAAGTATTTTAAGTTATATCATGTTTTCTTATCATTCTAACAATTAGCTGACTCAAGTAACAAGACTGTTTTAGCTACATTTATAATGAAACACTTAAACAGGCGTTACTATGACAATGGCACACTTGCATTTTTACAGCAATATAGAGTTAGTAAAAATACTAATGATAGATAAAACATATGAGAACTTGATGTAAGACTTTGATGTGTGTCCCAGACTTCCTCTTTGACCTACAGGGCCTCAATGACACTACACCGCCAACATGACAAGACCCATACTGTCACAAAACGGCAGCTATTAATAAGAAAAAAGAATAAAATAACTAAAAATTAATAAATATAGCAACCTAAATGTCTTATTAACCTGATATGGTACAGCAGAAGTCTTAAGAAGAGATGCTGCACTAAAAATGCTCCCTTTTCCAGTGAGCCTTCATTAATGAGGGCCATATTGAATTTGATGGGTACCACCACCTTCCGGTGCAAATAAACTTGTCTAAATTCAGACGGTTGCGACTCGACTGAGCCCAGCACACTCAAATAGATGTTAGTGAATATAAATATATGGATATACCTAACATTGCTATTAGTGTAATAATATTTGTTTCGATTGCCCCACATATAATTTCTATACATTTTAAAATGATTTATGTAATCAGATATGCTTGAATATCTGGTAGCACTTAAGGTACTATTAAACAATTTTTCTCCAAAGTTTGGCGTAATACTAACAATTGCTTTATATAATTCATAATGCTGAGAAATTTAACCAGTAAAGAGAAATGAAAGGGCATAAAATAAACAGTTCCTATCTTTAGGGACCTCAAGAGTACTATTAGGAACTCTTTCATTTGAAAACGGTGTTGTTGGACTACCAGGTAAGAGACTAGTAGCTGTGACAAGATTGAGATATAAAGTCTCACACCACCATCTTTGAAATTCTTCATTACCAGTGTCTAAACATAATCCCTTTGTCTCCTCCTAACATTATCTGGATTGGGAGGCTCTTCATAAGTAATAATGACATCATTTTGTTTACTTGTCTTTGATTTAACGCTTGAGATTTTGAAGATACAATCAGACTACTACTACAATTTTCAATTTTTACAACATTGTGTTATAATGTTTTGTTTTACATTTCAATGTTTGGAAGTTGTAAAGGTACGATCAGACAATCATCAACTTTGATATTAAATTGTTTTTATGTCATTAAAATAAGTGAAACAATGAACCTGATTCGACGAATGGTCTAATTAACGCGCACCTCTCAGCTGGGTGAAAATGACAGATTTTTCGCACTATAATATTTGAGCTTGTCATCAGTGGACAACTGTTGCATTGACTTTGTTTTGCTGCTATTGTAATAATTATGTATTATCCAAATCCATGCAACAGCAAAATCAATGATCAGTATATCACAAGAAGTCATAATCATCGACTAACACATGTGGTTTTCTCTCTAAAATCAGTGACTCTCGCACAGTTATATATAGTAACACAAGTGCACACCCACACTCAATACATCACCCCCCTCAAAAAAAGGGAAAAAACAACCATAACAATAAAATCAGTGTAGTATTAGCCAGTCAGGTGGGCAATGGGCATGACGGGGATAACGAGGAGGGGGAAATGGAGGAGGGGCACGGGGTGGAGCTTGATGGGAACTGGAGGGTCCTCATCCTCAACAAGCTTTGCATAATCACCAACATTCCGTGGTGGTCTGGTATTCTCCATTGGCTGAGATGGATGAGTCTCACTCGGAAATCTGGTCCCAGGTACATATATCTTCAATGTATCATAATGAACCATGACAATGTGTGCGATTACTGACACTCTAAATTTTATAAATAACATCAGATAGTTGCTCCAGAATGAGATATGGGCCAGTCCGGAGGTGGTGCAATTTACGATGTCCATCCTTTGGGATCACAGTTAAATAAAGCCACACTTTTATCCCCAGCATTAAATGGCTGGCCATGTATTCTTAATCATACATAGCTTTCTGATGTGATTGAACTTCGCCTAATGTGTTCTGGACCATCTCATAGATATACGCCAAAGATGATTGTATTATTGTAGCATACTCATTATGGGTACGTTTGATACTGTCGGAGATACCAAAGGTCAGATCAATGGGAAGTCTTGCTTCTCTGCCAAAAGTGAGATGAAAAGGTGTAACTCCTGAAGAACAATGAACACTGGAATTGTATGCCATGCAAAGAGGGCGGATATGATCATCCCACTCAGTTCGTTTGTCCTACGCTGTTGTAGATAACAGTGAGAGAAGGATTCTGTTATACCATTCCGCCATACCATCACATTGTGAATGATAGGCAGATGTACGTAATTTCTTTATTTGTAGACGACAAATCTCATGGATGAGTTGCGATTCGAACTGCTTTCCCTGATCAGACAGCAGGAACTCCGGTGGTGAAAAACAAACGAGCCACTCTTGTGTAAGTTTCCATGCCACGGTTGTGGCCTCTTGGTTTTGTATGGCATAAGCTTCACTCCACTTAGTAAAGTGATCAACCACCACCAGAATGTATCTGTTATCCCCAGAAGACTCTGGAAAAGGACCCAATATGTCCACTGCTACTAATTGGGCAGGGCTCTCCACTGGAATAGGCTGCAATGGAGTACGGTTATGTGGGCTAGTGGTTTTACTGGTAGTACATGCCGCACAGGCTTGGCATCATTTCTGTAAATCACAGAAATGCCCTGGCCAAAGAAACCGCTGTCTCAACTTCTCAAGTGTTTTGGTTACCCCCAAATGACCACCTGTACTACCCTCATGTAACTCACATACTACACCTGCTTGTGCACAAGTTGGAGCTACCAGCTGGTTGTAGTGAAGCTGCTGGGTAGGATGGACATATCGTTGCACCAGAACTCCCTCAATGACAGCCAATTGATCCCAGATTTGGATGAGCTTATGGGTCTTGTACCACTTCCTTTGAGACTCACTAGTAGGTGGCTTACACCCAGCTTCCTTACCTTGTAGCACATACCCAATAATTGGGTCATCTGTTTTTAATTTTCTGATGTTTCCAGTACTCAGACGTAACAAAGACAATGGAAATCTATTATGATTATTAACAACACTTATTCCTGTACTGTTTCCAGCTGTAAGGCTTGAAAAAGCATCGGCATTAGTGTCATGCCTTCTGGGTCTATGCTTCACCGTAAATAAGTACTCTTCCAGCTGCTGAAGCCATCGTGCTAATTGACCCTCTGGGTTCCGAAAATTCCAAAACCAGGTCAGAGAACTGTGTTCAGTACGAAGTTGGAAGTGCTGGCCCAGGAGATATTGACAAAATATGAAGTAAATGTGACAGGAGCAAGTATTTCTTTGCGAGTGACACTGTAATGACGCTCGGCCTTAGTTAATACTTGACTTGCGCATGCTATCACTCGTTCGGTATCATCATCCTTGATTTGTGAGAGCGTTGCACCCATGGCATTGTCACTAGCATCAGTGTCTAAGATGAACTCTTTTATAAAGTCAGGAAAAGCCAGAACTGGTGGAGAGGCTAAGTTCTGATGAAATGCTTGCTGGCAAGCAGTGGTCCATTGAAATGTACAGTTTTTCTCAGTTAGTCTGTGAAGTGGTTTTGTCACCTCAACGATTTGTGGGATAAATCTCCTATATAGATTGGCAAGTCCCAGGAATTGTTGAACTTCAAAACGTGATTTGGGTATGGGCCATCCCAGGACTTTCTCAACTTTCGTGGGATTTGTGGCAATGCCATCTGCAGAAACTACATTGCCTAAAAATGACACTGCTTTTAAGTAATTCACACTTACCAGGCTTCACTTTGAGACCGGCTGATTGTAGACATTGTAGCACAAATTCAATGTTACAGAGATGATCTTGGAAATCTCACCCTAGTATGATAACATCAATGTAGACTAGGCAGTGTGACCAGTGTAGGCCAGCCAATACCATATCCATAAGCCGCTGAAATATGGCTGGTGCATTTGTTAGCCCAAACGGTAGAACTTTGAACTCGTACAGACTTCCTTGAGTGGAAAATGCTATCTTCTAATGGTCCCACTCATCCATCTCCACCTCCCAGTAGTAACTTAACAGGTCAATTGTGTTTAACCACTGAAAGCCTGCTAATGTATCTAGCATGTCACTAATGTGTGGAAGTGTATATGCATCCCGTCTCGTAATATTGTTATTGAGACAATAGTCCACACAAAATCTAAGGAGCCATCTTCTTCTTAACCAGAATGACATGTGATGACCATGGACTGGTAGGGGGTTGGATTATGCCTCCCAGTAGTAGCATATTACTCACTAAGGCCTGAGTTAGCTCTCGTCGATGAAGAGGAAGCCTACGAGGCGGGACTCAGATTTGTGGCAAAGACCCTGTATCAATTGTGTGCTTCACCAAATTTGTTCGACCCAAATCATCTAAATTCACTGCAAAAACATCTCCATAAGTCAGTAGCAATTGCAATAACTCTGTTGCCTGAGTCTCCTGTAAGCCATCAGCCTGCTGGACCATGTCACACAATATATCACGCTTCTGGTCACCTGTCTTGGTTGAGCTTGAGGATTCTACGCTGTCGATGTCAATCTGTTGCATAGTAGCAATGGAAGTATTCTTCGTCACTGTGATATTATCTAAAGATTGATTAATAAGTCTCATTATGAGGGAGTGCTGGCTGTTGGACTGTTTCCAACTATTCAAAGAGCATGCAACAAAGGTTTTTTGTGATGGAGTATCCTCATCAAGCCATGTTCAGGTTTGGGGAGAGCCAGTAAGGGAGGTAGCTGTTGTTGCTTGTACCTCCATCTCGGACTGAGCTGGTATAACAACCGTCTCTGCAACTAATACTTCCACTGTATCAACAACAATGGCAGAGGATCTACCCTTTGCATGTGGGTAGAGTGGGATGCTTACATCTAGTTGTTGGAGATGAAGCCTTTTGTGCTTGATGTCTATCTGGCAACAATGCGCCTGTAGGAAGTCTAATCCCATGATGCCATCTGCTGTAAGTCCCTCCACCACAACAACTGGGACTTGAAGACTCATTCCAGGAACTGTGATAGTTATTTCTGTTGATCCGATTGTATTTAGTGGTATACCAGTGACTCCTACTAGCTTATGATTAGTAACCGGCTTTAGGGTACCTCTGATTTCTTGTTTCCAGACAGATGGATCTATCAATGTATAGCAGCTCTGGTGTCTACAAGAAATAAACAGTGTATTCGAAACACTACAACATTCATATGCAATGTCATAACCGGATTAACCAGGGTGATAGGAATAGTATTACCTGTTGGGTGAGTCAAATGTTTGTCCTTAGCCTCAGG